GTCCCGTCGGGAAATATGTCGCTACGTCACACAGTGGAGTCTCTCTGATTGGTTGAYGMTGGAAATATGTCGCTACGTCACACAGTGGAGTCTCTCTGGTTGACGAGGCGCGTTGAGCTGCAAAAGTTCAGATTTTCTAACTTCAACGATTTGCGCCTCAGCGCGTCGAACGCTCAAATGTTCAAATCGCACTGCTCTAATCGCGCTTGAGGCGCCTCAGCACTTCCCGACGCTGATTGAAGTGCGTCCACCATTGACTTTGCATGTAAACCTGATGCTCCTGATGCTGAAATCACGTTTGGTGTGAACGCACCATTACATTCTCTAACTTAAAGTCAATTTTATGAATGCAGCATTTTTATTTTGCGTGCAGCAATTTTATTTTGCATCATTTTTTGTTTGCAGCACTTTTTTTTCATGTTAGCAACATTCGCACCAGTCGGCCACCGTAGTTCTGATCCTGTTTTACTCACCCATATACACAGTGCGCTGCAGTGAGAATCCAGACAGGTGTTATGATAGAACCTCCACACAGGTGTTCATTTTTAAAATGGAGGCTGACCTGCCAAGGAAACTGACCCATTTTGGACATATTCCCTCCAACAATCCGACTGGTGTACAGAGGCCTGGACCCACACTCTGAGAACAGACAGATGGTAAAACTTTCACTTGGTGCTCATAATTTCACACGTTATCGCTTTGTTAGAAAGTTTTCAAAAATTGGTTGCCTCAATAATTGTGCAGAAAAACATGTTCAGTTCTCAATTAAAAATGTTTTATTCTCTGATCTAAAAACTCCATCTCATGCTCAGAGCCACTGTCTGTGTGTCTGGCCTAATTAGCACCAAGCAAAACAGTAGCTTCTCTCTGCTGCAACATATCTCTGCTAAGTATTTATGTTAACAAATCCCAAAGATTTATTAGAACACCCTGGTCGAACCCCTAGGCGCGGTACCTTTTTTCGTCAGCACTGTTACTTTGGAATGTGAACATTCCATAATAGATATCAACAAACTATTTGGAATCAAATAATCAGTGCAAAAATTGCAATTCAGCAAGTAATGATTTCCCGAAAAAATTTACTGAACTTTTACGTAAAGTGCCTGTGACACGATATTGGAACTATGCATCAAACGTCATTATACTATGTATATATA